CAGGAATGCTTTGTCTTTCAGGGTGCATGGACACATGTTCCAGTAGTTGTCCCCTCTCTGTAGGAGGTGTCAGTATTAGCAAATAAAAATACTGGCTGCTGAGCTGGGATGGTGGCCCACGCCTTTAATACCAGCACTTGGGAGGCAGAGGCAGGCGGATCACTGTGAGTTCAAGGCCGGCCTGGTCTACAAAGTGAGTTCCAGGCCAGCTGGGGCTACAGGGAGACCCCGTCTCAAAAAGACAAAAAAATAAAAAATAAAAATACTGGCTGTCTAGTCACATTTGAGTTTTAGGAAAACAAAAAGCAATTTTAGCAGAGTGTACCACAAGGAGATATTTATAGTAAGAAAATGGCCATTGTTTCTCAGAAATTCACATATAACCAACCAGCCTGGGAAAGACCCCAGGGAATGTAGACTAGAGCAGCCTCTATGGAAATCAGTGTGGCGGCCTCTCATGAGACTAAGAATAGAGCTTCTGTATGGTCCGTGGGAAGGAAGCACATCAGCAGTTACCTACACAGTTATCACAGCTTTATCCCAATAGCCAAGTCGGCGAACAGGCCTACGTGCCCACGAACAGGTGATAGACAGTGTGGTGTATATGAGAACAAAGTACTACTCAGTCATGAAGAAGAACCAGTCTGTCACTTGCACAAAAATGTGGAGACCTAGAGCTAGATCATCATATTAAGTGCTATAAGCCAGAGTCAGAAAGACAAACATGAACTAGAGGGATGGCTCAGCAGTTAAGAGCACGCAGTGCCCTTTCAAAGGACTCAAGTTCACTTCCAGCACCCTCATCAGGCAGCTCACAACCACCTATAACTCCAGCTCCTGGGGGATCCCAGGCCTCTGGCTTCCGCAGGGACTTATGTGCACATACCACATGTGCATATACACATAATTAAAAATAGACTTAAGAAAATCAAGTACCATGAATTTTCTCTTATATGCGGAAGCTGTTTTATCTATCTTTTATTTATTCTTTGACAGTTTTATATATGCATACAGTGCATCTTGTATACATAGCCATCCCCTACACTCCATCCCACTCCCCCAGGACATCTCTCAACACAGCCTCCTCCTACCTTCTAGATTTTTTATTTATTTTATGTGTATGAGTGTATTGTCTGCGTGTATGTAAGTGCACCTGTGTCATGCAATACCAGCGGAGGTCAGAAGAGGGCATCAAATTCCCTGGAACTGGAGTTATGGGTGGTTGTGAGCCGCCATGTGGGTGCTGGGATTCAAACCCAGGTCTTCTGCTACAACAGCCAGTGCTCTTAACCATTGAGTCATCTCAGCTCCCTGGGGTTTTTTTAAGACATGAGAGTCAAGAGAGGGCTCTTACGGAAGGGAAAGAACTGAGGGAAAACAGGATGAGGAAAGGTTGCAGGAGAACATAATCAAAAGATATATACACGTATGAAATTGTCACAGTGAAGCCTGTTATTTACATGGCTAACATACGCTTTAGAAAGGAGGTGCTGGTCTCCTGAGACTGACTGTACACTGCGTGGTATGTGGGTCCAGCTCCTGGGCAATCAGGCCCCTGCTTGGCAGTAATCTCAGCCTGCATCTCCAGCCTCACCAGCATCTTCCAGTGCACCCTGGCCAGGCCTGCTCCATTCCACCCATCAACATGGAGCCTCCTTATTGGGTCTGGACTGGGACTTCCACTCTCCAGCCCCTGCAGGAGATGTCTGAACCACACAAGGATCCACAGCAGATCCTTGGGTCTCAACGCAGTCATTTATCACATGACCCCAGGAAGTATGCAGGGAATTCTGACAGTGACCCTATGGATGCAAAGCCCCAGTCATTGCTGTGCCCAGGAGTATGTGTCCTGCAGCTTTAGTACCCCCCACACACACACACTCACACAAGTTCCAAGCACCCCACAGTCCCCAGCCAAGCACAGGCAGCCATGGGGCCGTGCTGTCCTCCACAGATGTCTTCCTGACCACCTGCCTCCCGCTCGCTCTTTCCCCTTTCATCCCTCACCTGCTGAGTGCTCATGTCACGCCTCTGTGGATGTTTCTAGATGCTGAAGATGGCAGCACTGAATGAAACAAACCCTTGCCCATTTAGAGCTGTGTCCTAGTGCAGCAGAGGGCAGAGACAGCCAGTGCAACAATAGTATCTGAGGTCCTGACATCACAGGCCCCAGGCACTCTGTGAGAAAAGATGAGCAAGTAGGGGACCTGAGACCAGTCACAGATGGGCATTTGTTCAGACTGGGTAGTCAAAGTCTTTCTAGCAGAGAAAAGGAAGATCAGCCATGCCAGTGTCTGGGGCTAGGAAGAGCAGTTGGCTGCTGGGGCAGCCCAGGCTCCCTCAGATCCTGCAGCAGGTGCATCTGGCAGAACGCAAACAGCAGCAGAGGCGAGAGGAGGTTAGAAAGGCGTCTAGCCCGGCAGCTAAATCTGCATCCACAAGACCCGAAAACAGTTGAGAAAGTCGCCTCCTTCCCCTCCCTTCTGCTCTGCTTCTGCAGGACGGAACAGAGCAGTGAACTCTAACCTTACTGCTGTCCTGGGAGCTTCCTCCTGGCTCATGAGGCTGGAACAGCCCTGGAGCTGGGACGTGCCAGGTGAGGGGGCCACAGGAGAGGAATGACAGCTTCACGTGTTTAAAACATTCCTCTCACATTAGGGACTCTGCAGAAGTATGAGACTGGAGCATCTTCCTCCAGGGGTCTGAGGAAACCAGCCCAGGCTTGGGGGATTTATCCGGACTCCACAGAGCCTTTGTGCGATCGTGGGCAGGACAGTGAAAACGAGGTTGTAAGACTCTAATCTGAACGTAATATTTTGTAAAGTAGTGGTTTCTGTCGTTACGATAACCTGGAAACGTGATAGGACTTACCAGTGGCATCTGTCTAGACCAGGTACTTGCAGTTCTTGGTCTGAAGAATCGCACACACGGCACAGGGGAGCTCAGGATCTCATCCAGGAGCAAAGTGAAACCGCAGAGTCTGCACACTGCAAGGGGGCAGCAGGTCCTGGGTGGACATGCAGCTCAAGCGCATCCTGGTCGCCATCCAGAGCCTCCTGCTCACTGTCCTGGACCTCCTTTTCTGGGTCCAGAAAGAGACAGTCTTGGTTGCCAGGGTGAAGGGTGGGTGGTTTTTGGTTTTGGTTGATAGGCTTGGGTTATACAAGCCTTTGTTTGCTGTGCATATCTTTCCATACTGCATCTGTTTAATTTTTTATTTATTTTTCCAATTATGTGTTTATGTGTGTGTCTGTGTGTGGGTATGTGCGTGTGTGAGGGCAGGTACCTACAGAGTCCAGAAGAGGGCATCAGATCCCCTGGAGCTGGAGTTATAAGTAGTTGTAGGCCACCAGAAGTGAGCACTAGGTACTGAACTACAGTCTTCCATAAGAGCGGCACGGGCCCTTAACCACTAAGCCGTGTCCCCGGCCCCAGTGCATCTGATTTTAATCATATGTCTGTCCAATCATACATAGGCATAAGATGCATATAGGGGTTTTCCCTAAAAGTTCACTTAGAAAACACAATTTGCCTTCCTGTGCATGCATCCAAAACCAGTACAGGCTGAATCATCCCACTGCCCCACATTCCCAGATGTGTTCCTAGGTGGGTTTGACCACAAAGGGGGAGTTACTAGGGGTTGCTAGGGACTTATTAGGAGCTGTGGGTATGGAGTGGCCAATTTCCTTTTGGGGGCTGTGCACCTCAACATAAGTGGAGTCCCGGGTTGCTAAGTGCTCTGTTGTGAAAGGGTATATGTATGGCTCGAGCTGGGCAGGTCCCAGGTTGCTAAGCTGTCCCTACGCCTGCCTCAAGGGTGCTTCTCAATGCAGGATGCAGTTCTGTTCCAATAAACTTGTGGTAAGTTGAAGATACCCTGAATTCAGGGGACTGGAGTGGTTAAGAGCACGGCTGCTCTTGCAGAGGACCCAGGTTCAATTCCCAGCACCCACAGGGAGGCTAACAACTTCTGTTACATCAGTTCCAGGAGATCCAATGCCCTCTTCTGACTTCTGGGGGCATTGCAGGACAAAGGTGCACTTACATACCTGTGGGCAATATTCTCATACACGTAAAATAAAGATACTATAAAAATAAAATATTTTTTAAAGTAGTCTAAATTCAGATAGATTATAACTTCGAGGCCTGCCTGGGCCACAGAGTGAGTTCAAAGCCAGCCAATTCCATCTCAAAATCAAAACAAAGAGCCGGGCACGTAGCTTGGTGGTAGAGCACTTGCTTAGCTCTCTCCCCAGTGCTGCGGCCACCCAGCACGGAGATGAGTGATGCTCTCACCTGGCATGCAGAGAGGACAGTAAGGCAAGAAGCAGCTAGGTGAGAGGGCCACAGTCAGAGTGCAGCTTCTGCCCGGGCACGTACTGTGCACCAACGCACCAACATGAATTCAACACTCATTGTTTTCTTTTTCTATTTGTGTGTGTGTGTGTGTGTGTGTGTGTGTGTGTGTCGGGGGGGTCTGTGTGTCTGTCTGTGTGGTGTACATGTATGTGGGCACACTGTGGAGGGGTGCCCATCTGTGAGCATGCCCATGGAGGCCCAGGACTGGTGTCTGGACTCATCCTCTCCTGCTCTTCCACCGTATTCAATGAAGCAGGGGCTCTCAGTCAAGCCCAGAGCTTGCTGATATGGCTAACACCATGGACCAGCCTGCTGTGGGTCTCCACCGTCTCTGCCTTCCAAGGCTGGAATTACAGGCGGCTGCCCAGCCCACCTGCATTTGTGTGGGTTCTGGGGATCCAAATTCCAGTCTTCTCACGTGTCTGACAAGTTCTGTAACCACTGAGCCATCTCCTCAGCCTGTCAAATACCTTAAGTGTAGCCATGAACTGGGCTCCTGGTAATCAACACATCTGCAACATGATTCTCTAGACCTGGCCCGGCTACATGTCCTAAGGAAAGCTTGTTTTCTTCTTTTGTTCTCAAGGAAGCTAATGGCCTTGTTTTGTTTTCTTTTCTGCTCTCTTGGCTCTCGGATCCAGGCCCTGGCGTGCCCAGTGTGACCGTGCACAACACCACAGATAAGAGAAGTAAGTGCCCTTTCTTTCCAATCTTTCTAAGTGTGGACCCCTCTGGCAACCATTACTGACTAAATAAAATAGTAATGAGGGCCAGTGTCACCCAGCTGAGACTCTATGGTGCTCTTTAAATTGCCTAGGGTCCACAGTGCCCTTGAGATGCTGAGGCTGGGCAGGCATTCCCTGGATACCTAGGTCATGGATGAGGGTCTCTGCATGCCGGCCAAGACCATCTGGATTTGAACAGTCAGTGGGCAGCTTGACTCTTCTCCTCTAAGGCCTTCTTTGAGAGCAAGCTCCATGGGTGCTCAGAGGGTCATCCACCTGTGGATCTGGTGATATCTGCATGGTGTGGAGGGTCTACACATCCACACTGCCACAGGATGATACAGGTTTAGCTGAGGCCAACGAAGGTAGTGGGCGACCTGGTAGAGGGATATCACAGTGGGCACGAGGGCTGCTGTGGAATGGAAAAGGAGGCAGCTCGGCTCTAAATGCAGCCAAACATCTGGGAGGGGAGCATGGAGGATGGGAGACGGTCAAGAGACACCAGCAGGGGAGTCTTGCTCATGGGCCTCACAGGATTCTTGCTGTGGTCAAGCCAAGGATGTGGGCATCGAGGATGAGGATGAGGACTTGGTCTGACACCCAGGGTAATCGGTCTTGCTAAACTGACCTAGCAGGAGGCTCACTGAGACTGAAAGATACACACCAAAGATAGGGCAGGGCCAGTGCTGAGGCCCAGTTACGAACTTGGAGAGGTCTGACTCAGTGTGGTCAAGGAATCGGGGCTGCCAAAATCTAGAACTCTCGAGAATCCCCCAACGAACGTATAGATTTTCACCTGACAGCACCCTACATAGGCTGCCACGTGTGCTATGTGTTGGGGGAACAGGAAGCTGGGCATGATAGATGGAGCAGGATGATAAAGCTACTATTAAGAGACTTTACCTGGGCACCTCCTCTCTCCTACCCAAGAAGCTGACTTCCATTGCCCCCTTCTCCAAGATGCCCGTGGTATGACCTCCCCCAAGAGGAAGGTCAAACCTTTTGCCAGATTCTGGCTTAAGCATTTGGAAGTGGGTAAAATGGATGTGGTTGAAAAGATAGCATTTAGAAGATCATCTCCAGTCATGATAATGGTCTGCCAATTAAAAAAATGTATAGGCTGGGCGTGGTGGCGCATGCCTTTAATCCCAGCACTCGGGAGGCAGAGGCAGGCAGATCTCTGTGAGTTCAAGGCCAGTCTGGTCTACATAGTGAGTTCCAGGACAGCTGGGGCTACAGGGAGACCCTGTCTCAAAAAGGACCCCCCCAAAATGTATAGAGCCTGGCATGGTGGTGCACACCTTTAATCCCAGCACTCGGAGGCAGAAGCAGGAGGACCTGCGTGAGATCAAGGCCAGTCTGAACTACATGTCATCCTGGGAAGAAGGGGGGGAGGGAGGAGGAGGGAGGGAGGGAGGAAGGCAGGCAAAGGGTGGCTGTCAGAGAGGCCAGCGGTGCCAAACCACTGTCATGGGCTTTCTGCTGCACCCCCAGTAGGAGGGATGAGTCTCTGGGGTTGAGAGGTGGCAGCTCCCAAGCCTCAGTTTCAGCCTCACCTGGGGACTGCCCTAGGAGCCTAGGAGGTTTGGATGGTGTTGGTCATTGTCCCCTGAAGGATTCTAGGTCAAATCCCTGGGTGTCAACCCCACATCCACCCACATGCTGCCCACTCCAGTACAGGCACAGGAGGAAGGGAGCCTGGCTATGGTGTTGGGCCAGAGCTGCCAACCCACGTGGCCTCTGTGGTCTTCAACACCCAGCACGACAGTGCTCCGTAAACCACTCAGGCCCTACCTGCCATTTTCACTTAGAAATCGGGCCATTGTGCAGAGCTGAGCACTCGATGTGGCGCTCTCTGCTCCTGACTGTGACCAGCTGCGTCAAGCGCCAGCCACTGTGACCTCCCCAGAGTGATGGGCTGCGATCTAGAATTGAAAGCCAAGTAAATCCCTCTTCCCTTACCCTGACAACAGGAAACAGAATTGAAACGGAAGAATAGGTTCTTGACCTTGTAAATCATGAGCTACATTCTCTGTCTGGTGAAGTTTCGTGTCCCCCTGTAGTGTCAGACCCTAATCACAGGGCCTGGGAATCTGTATTTTAATAAACTTGTAAGAACTATTGATCCACTATTGGTGTACCTGTAATACCAGCATTTGGGAGGCTGAGGCAGGAGGATGCAGATTTTAAAACCAACCTGGACTACATCACAAGATCCTGCCCCCTTCCCCCAAAATGGTGGATTACAAGCACCTTCACAGTATTCCATTTCACAGATGAAAAGACTGAAACTTAGTGGGCAAAGGGTCCCGAAAACTAAGCCTGGAATTCTGACTGTTCAAGAGCAAATCATTTCAATGGGCAGAAAAAGCAGAAAAGTCCATTTTAAAAGCTGAATAGAACGGGCCACAGTGGCACACCCTGTTAATGCCAGCACTTAGGAGGGAGAGGCAGGTGCATCCCTCTGAGATTCAGGCCAGTTTGCTCTGCGTAGGAGATCCAGGCCAGCTGGGGTTACACAGAGACCCTGTCTCAAAAACCCAAAGTGGGGGGCAGGGGGAGGAAGCGGAAGTCTGAGAGAAAACAACAAACCAATCGCAGCAAATACTCTAGTGAGCTCTGACTGTTCAAAGATAGAATGTTTGCATGTCTGAATTCAGGCAGTCTGTGGGGAGCGTCAGTCACAGGCACACGGAGCACTGATGGCTTACAAATAACTATCTGAGCCCAAAGCCCTGGCCCCCTGGCGCCAGCCTTCCAGCTTCTGCAGCTCCTGGGGCATCCTCTCCGGCAACAGCAGGCCAGGTCCACCTAGAAAAGGAGAGTTGAGTAGAATTGAGCCGCAGGCCCAGTGAAGTGCTGGACCCAGCCCTATGTCTAGCCTCCAGGTGGGAACCTGTGATTTTTCTCCCTTTACATGTAACTTGTAATGTGGCTACCAGCCTCCCACAGCATGCCACAGCCCAGCCCAGCTCAGCCCCATCTGAGATGGCTGCCCTGAATGGAATGCCCTGTGCCTGTACTGTGTCAAACCAGTGGCTCCCAGGTGAGGCCGCAGACACCTGAGGCCCCTGGACCCCTGGTATGAGCAGTTGCATCTTGTCCCTGCTGTAGTCACAGCCTCCCAGCTGCCTGTGTGCCAGGTGAAGGGTCTTTAATGTGCTGTGGATCAGAGCCTCAGGCAGGCAGCAAAGCCTGTGCATCACAGACCAGCCTTAGGGCACAGATAGGGTTCAGATCGTGTGTTCGTCCATGATTGAAAAAGTTCATGGGTGCTAGAGAGGCAGCTCAAAGGTTAAGAGCACTGGCTGTTCTTCTAGAGGACCCAGGTTCAATTCCCAGCACCCACATGGTGGCTAACAGCTGTCCTAACTCCAGTTCTAGGAGATCCAATGCCCTCTTCTGACCTCCTCAGGCATTGCACAACACCGGTACACATACATACACGCAGCCAAAACAGTCATACACATAAATAGCTCTGCGGTTAAGAGCACTGGCTGTTCTTCCAGAGGACCCAGGTTCAATTCCCAGCACCCACATGGCAGCTAACAACTGTCTGTAACTCCAGTTCCAGGGGATCCAATGCCGTCTTCTGACCTCTGCAGGCATTACATGACACAGGTGCACTTACATACAAGCAGGCAATACACTCATACACATAAAATAAAAATAATAATTTTTTAAGTTCATGGACAGTGAACAAGAAACCCTGTCTTAAAAACGTGGAAGGTGAGGGCCACACAAGGTTGTCCCCTAACATGCGTGTCCTCCACATACATGCCATGGCATGCAACACACATATGAACTGACATGCAAATGCAAACACACACACACACACATGTGAACTGGTGTGTGCACACACAGAAATTTAAAAATAATAAGTGTGCAGAACAGAGGAACCTCCCCTGCAGGTGTCCTTTGCATCAGCCTGGGGTTCTGCCCAGGAGGGGCCTATAGGAGCCCCCAGAGTTTTGTTTGGCAGTTGGATTTCCTGTTTCCTGGCTCCTGCCTAGCTAGACAGTTATCTGCAGTTCAAGGGATGGGAACAGCTGGATGAGTTAGGGCGGGCCACTGGCAGGGTTATCCAGAACATTTTATGTATCTGAGGACTCTCAGCACAGCTCAGGAAAACAGAGGCACGGGCGTTGGATAAACTGCCCAAGTGCCGAAATGGTAGATGTGTTTCAACTAAAGCAGCCCAGCCTGGGTCCACAGAGCCCTTCCTCCATCACAGGCCGAGCATCCTCAGCCCCCAGATCCAAAGTCCAAATGCTCCAAAATCTGAAATTTTTTGAGCACCAATATATGGATACATTGACAGTCCCACGCCTCCATGACGGGCTGTGGTGATGATGCTGTCAGAAATTGCCTTCAGGTGGCATGGACACCGTGTCCACGAAACAGAAAGTGGTTCAATGTTCAGACTTGAGCCCCATGCCCAGATAAACCCTGGAACATGCTAAGACTCCAAAATCTGACAGAATAGGAAATCCAAACCTCCCCTTTTACCAAGCACCTCAGTAAGGAATGCTCTGCCTGCGACCAGTGCCACTCAGCCACACAGACCCAGAACCCGGGAATGCCACTTGGTCACCGAGGAAACGGCAGCAGCCTCTGTGACCATTGCTCCTGTCACCCTGGTTCCCATCTGCCAAAGGGGCCCTGGGTCCTCCCCGTGCTTGGGCCTCCCTCTGCCAGGCAAAGACCCCGGTGCCCTCAAGCTGAGAGACCACCTCTGAGCAGCCCATCCCAACTTCTTTGAGGAGAGCCCAGACTGGTGCCTTTGGAGAGGTGGTATGAAGGACAGGCTGCTTCTGAGGACACTGTAGGATGCCTGGCCTGGCAGGGCCTGAGCAGCCTGCATCTGTTACAGGGACAGCAGAGGTCCCCAGCCATCGGGAGGGCTGGGGCGGGGCGACATGGACCCCATTCTATATTAATGCAGCCTCGTTGGGAAAGTTGCAGCGTGCTCGGCTCTACCCACGGCCAAAGACCCCGCCCACTCCTGGCCCCTGGGAAGAGTTTACATCTTCCCCTTTTAAAAATCTCATCTCCAAACAGAGCTGGCAGGCTGTTCCCAGATGTGATTCTGAATTATTCAAAACCTATTTCCTTAAGAACGTAATTACAATAGGCACTAAAGTCTATGCATGTAGTGTGTGAGGCTTTGGCCCCTTGGAGATGGGGAAGACACTGGCAAACCACCACAAGCCCGCTGGGGCTGGTTCTAATGTCCGTGTGGAAGGGATTGTAGGGCAGATACTGGATATGTGGGGGCGAGCTGGGATGGCAGCTCACAGTGCAGCTGTCCAGCCTGCAGGAGAAAGCCCGTGTGACATCGCATAGGCTGGGTTAGTGGACACCCCCCTGTGGTGTCCTGAAAGCCGATTCAGAACTTCCAAACTCCATCCAGCCTTCTCAGTTTCCAGACCTCTGCTTCATGGAGGACAGGTCTCTCCTCTCTCTCTCTCTCTCTCTCTCTCTCTCTCTCTCTCTCTCTCTCTCTCTCTCTCCCCATTTTATGCAGTCTGTTGGGGGCTGGATGTTGAGAGATTTGGGAGGTTATTTCTGGTGTTTAAGAAACAAAGCTACCCCCAGTTAGCATCAGGCAACTAACTGGATAAAACTCACTCAACTCTGACCTCTCAGTATCTTAGTCCCTCTGAGCACACTGTGTGGCCATCCCCACCCTCCCTACCCGGAACTGAGCGTCACCCACCAGGCACCAGGAGCTGAGATGATGTGCTGGACAGCTTTAGTGTCAACGTGACACACCTGGGTTGAGGGAGCCTCAATTAGGGAATCGCCTTCATTGGACTGGCCTGTGGCCATGTCTGAGGGGCATCTTCTTGATGAGTGATGTGGGAGGGCCCAGCACACTGTGGGTGGTGCCACCCCAGGGCAGGTGGGCCTGTGTTGTATAAGAAAGCAGGCTGAGCAGGGCCAGGAGAGCAAGCCAGTAAGCAGTGTTCCTTCCTTGTGCTCCAGCTCCTGCCTCCAGGTTCCTTCCCTAAGTTCCTACCTTGGGCTCCCTGATGAACTGTGACCCAGGAGATGTAAGATAAACCCTTTCCTCCCCAAGTTGGTATTGGTCAGAGTGTTTTGACCAGTGGAGAAACAAACTAGGACAGAAATTGGTACCAGAGAGTGGAGTATTGCTGTGACAGACCTGACCTTGGTGTTTTTAGGATTGTGGAAGTGTTCTGAACTTTGGGCTGGAAAAGCCATTGAGCACTTAAGAGTTTGTTGCTGTGGAGCTTGGAACAGTTATGCTGAAAGAGTTGTAGATGATGGAGGCCTGGCTTCTGAAGCTTCAAAGGAAGCAGAGACTATCAGGGCTGTTTATGTGATATTTTAAATTGAGAATCTATGCTATCTGGTCAGCTGGGACTGAATGATTATCTGTGATTAAGAAGATATCAGAACCACTGAAGCAAAACCTTTGCTTTACTGGGACAATTGATGCTGGTTAACTGGGGCTGAAAAAAATCAGCTATAAGAAGAGATCAGCATCACTGAGGTAAAATCATTGAGGTAGAATCTTCTGGGAGGTATTTCCTCAGGGTCAGTACACAAATGCTATAGTCCAGAGGAGCCCAAGCCTCCATCTCAAGCTGGAAGCAGGACTTGGTAATGTATAAGAGTCTCCTGCATAGTTCTAGTGTTGAAAGTGTAAAGGGGTCACAGAGAAAAGCTGAGGCTTGGCACTCTGAGAGGGTTCAGTTGCAGCGAAGACCCCAGGAATGAAGGGGTCATGGAGAGAAACTGAGGCTTTGCACTGGGAGAGGCAAGAAGAGGCCATTGGTGAGGGTGCAGCCTCAGTTTCAGTGGTGACCCCAGCTTTTCGGAAATGCCGGGACCATGGGACGATCACCATGGACCGCAGTATGTGTGAAATGGAGCTGGCCTGGGTCTGCGAGACGAGCTGAGTGTGCTGTGGACGGCAGTTAGAGAGGTGGAGCTGCCAGAACCTTTGGAACCCAGAAGATTGTGAGTGACTCCCAGATGTCCAGCCTTGAGCTACTTTGCTGGACTTTGGTTTTGCTTAGCTGTGCCCGAGTCTTCCCTTTGAAATAAGACAGTACTTGTTTTAGATTTTATAGAAGTTACAAGAGTTTTAAAAGAGACTATGGACTTTTAAAGTGTTTGGATTTTTTTAAGAATTGTGGGGCTTTTAAGGTTGTACTGTCTTATGTTGTGATACTAACATCATATCTTGGGGACAAGAATTGGAGAAGTTATGTTTTAACAGTGATGTGTCAAGTTGACAAGGGGTCAGTTTTGCTGACTAAATTGACACACCTGGGTTGAGGGATCCTCAATTGGGGAATTGCCTCCATTGGACTGGCCTGTGGCCATGTCTGTGGGGCATCTTCTTGATTGATGAGTGATGTGGGAGGGCCCAGCCCACTGTGGGTGGTGCCACCCCTGGGCAGGAGGGCCTGTATAAGCAAGCAGGCTGAGCAGGGGCCAAGGGAGAGGTCAATAAGCAGTGTTCCTCCATGGCCTGTGCCATGCTCCTGCCTCCAGGTTCCCGCCCTGAGTTCCTACCTTGGGCTCCCTGATGAACTATGACCCAGGAGATATAAGCTGAATAAAGCCTTTCCTCCACAAGTTGGTATCGGTAAGAGTGTTTGTGACAGTAATGGAGAAACAAACTAGGACGGATGTCAACAAACATGAAATTATCAAGGGCCTCTGTGCAGCACTATGGAGATTGACCCTTGCCCTGTAAGACCTGGGGTGGCCTGTGAGACTCCCCTCCTAGGAGGGATCCTATCTGGTCCCCATAGGCAGTAGGAGTAGGAGGATCTGGCAGGTAGAGAGGACCCAGGGCCACTGCAAATGGTGAAGAGGACAGAGACCCTCAGGCACAGCCAGTGAAAGCTGTTTCTCTCTACACTCCTGGGTGAGGGGAGTGGAGAAGCCCAGGTATAAAGGGGGCTCAAGAGCCCCCTTGTGGGCTGGGATGTAGCTCAGTTGGCAGAGTGCTTGTCTGTCATGCACACAGTCCTGGGTTTAATCCCCAGCACCACATAAACTGGACATGGGATTACACCTGCAATCCTAGCACTCAGAAGGTAGAGACAGGAGGATCAGAAGCTCATCCTCAACTACATAGCAACTTTGAGGTCAGCCTGGGCTACATGTGACTCTGTCAAATAAATAATTAAATAGCACCTTGCCCCTAAAGTCCAGGGACAGATGGCACGTGCTGACCACGGCAAAGGGCTTTACAGTGTTTCCACAGCCCTTGACCATCACTAATTTGACTCTCTCTGGCCCTAACAGAGATGGACAGTCACCCTGCAGCAGACCTCCTTTGGCACAGCAGTGACAAGCCAGCTGGACACGCTCTGCGGTGGGACCTGTCCCACAAGGGCACCAGGGCCTTCAGGCTGTGGCTGCAGGGTGGAGTCCTGCTCTGAGGAAGCATAGCCAGGGCAGACTGGACACAGCCACGGCCATGGGGACTGTCTGTAAGGACAGGACGGTGCGCGGTGTACAAAGACAGACAGGCACCAACCCCGTGCCTGCTGTTCTAGATGTGGTGCTGGTGGCTGATTTAAGCCCCAGCTCTTATAGTACACGAAGCAAGTTTGTATCTGAGATCTATAGTTTTCAAGTATTTTAAGGAACAATTTGGTAGCCAAAAAAGGAAGGAAATAAAGCTCCTTACAGTAAAGTGAGATTTGAGTGAGAGCTCTTGCCTAGACAGACTGAGTCAGCAGCCCACAGATCCTGCGTGCTGGGGAGGTACCTCATAAGTTGTTACCTAGGAGTTTTTCTTCATTAAAGATTAGCATGGGGGAGTGGGGTATGCTTTGCTAATACAGCGCTCGCTTAGCATACGTAAGGCTCTGGGCTCCATCCCCAGCACAAAAAAAAAAAAAAAAAAAG